CCAGAAAGTAATTGTTCGTGCGTATTAAAATTCTTACAATAGGCAGTAAAACTATTCACACTCCCATATAAATTATAAATATGTAGATGTTAATGAAAGCGGTGTATATATTCTCCCACATGTACATTTGATAAACTATTTATGAAATTACATCTATTCTGAATTTATCTGTTACAAATATACAAATGTAAGGCAAGATGTAAAAACGAATAAAACAAGAACGTGTAAAACGTAACATTAATAAAAATGTCCATTAACGATGCATTTAGAATAAATTGTCTTGTAGTTAAGTGAAAAAATATATACTTTTCCGTTTCATGTTTCATGTTTCATGACTGTCATATTTATCCCTTAACCTTAAACTGAAGCATCGGATATTTTTATTCTCGTGAAATCATATAGATACACGTAATAAGAATGGAATATATAACACTTCATTTTTGCTAATAAAACTCAGAATTCATGCTTTATCGGTCACGTCGGATATTGACACTAAAATGGTAACAGGGCTACGTAGCCCTATGAACATGGGACAGAAAAAAGCATTGGATGATAGGTCTATTCTATACCTAGTCGGTGCTATCAGTACGACTATCTCATATTTTCCCATAAATGTCCCATAAATCCCAATTTTCCCGCGCTTTTTGCAAAATCCAAGATGGTGGAAAAACCTGCACATTTGTGGCGCTCCCACCAGTTGGTGGCAGAAATTGGAACTAATTTTGAACTATTTGAGCAGCGCCATCTGGTGGAGCATTTGCGGACTCTCTAGGAAGTTCTGGGATTAGTTCCAATTTCCGCCACCAAGTGGTGAGGGCGCCACAAAATGTCCCATAAATTCCATTTTTCCCGCGCTTTTTTAAAAGTTTTAGAATTAATTATTTTGTTATTATTTATTATTACTTTTTTGGTTAATTGATATTAGGAATAGGAGTGGAAATAGTGCGGGATTAATGAATAACGCATATGTATGGTTTGACTGTTTTTTATTGAAAAATCGTGAGAAAATATAAAATTTACAATGGTATTTGATTAAATTTAATAAGAATTGCCTTAAAAACTACTTATACATACGATTTTACAATATATTTATAACAATATGTGCATAAATTCAGCAAAACAAGGCTTACATATTATTCAGTCTTATAAAATATTGTAATTTATACATCCCTCTTTTGTTACTTGTAAATTTTCCGTACGATCTTCAAAGCTTCATAATTGTTTCATAAATTTGTCGCCAAAATTTTTGTTCCTGGCGACATACGATAAATGTGAGTAGTGAAACGCAGATTCTTCTACCATATTCAATCTGTTGTAATTAAATACATGTAGGTGATAAGAGAGTGAACAATAGTGAAATGACTTGAGTTAACATGTGCTTGAAACTTGGTCCTGTATTGCCGTTACTCGTACAACTGTCGAATTCGGACTGACGCTTGTCCGTTCTTCCGTGAACACATTGCATAATAATCGTAGCAACAATGGTAGTTTCTGCAGATACTATTATAGCCCGAGATTAAAAGTCGTAGGCAGTATGTAGTTATTTTTTGTAGAAACCTGTTGAAATAGACCACTACACTTAGTACAAGACTTTACAATGTTTATGCAGTTATATTTAAGCCGATTCGATCAAACGAAGCTTGTGTCAACTGACGTGTGTTTATTGGAATATCCATGTACATATGTATACTTGTATTATACAAATTGTAAATCAAGCAAGTATTGTAACTTATAAATATAAATTTTCTATTATTAATTTGTTGTATAAACAGATTTATTATTGAAATAAATTTATTTCTACCATTCAAAGATTTGTTAGGTTGAACAGAAAATAAGAACATTTTTGAATTTTATTAGAATTTTTATTGTACTGTGTTTTCCAAATTGAAAGAATAATTGCACAGGCATCCACAATTGAATCAGATGACATTATTTTATTCCTTTTGTGCTCCATTCCATTCTTGTACATATTTGAACATACATCAGAGACACTTTGCACCCACATATTTACTTATGTATGTACCACCCAAGGCAGTCACTGTGAAGCAAATGAAGTACTGTGAACATTATCTAAGTTGCATATCTCGAAAAGTATCGATTTTAAGACACACTTACCTCAATATTTCCTACTTCCAAATCCACCGTTTTGTCGAATGGTAATAAAAGATTGCACGTAAGGAAACAAACTTGACCTTGAAAACTTTCTATCGGTTTTTCCATTAGTAATGATATCTTAGACGAACAAAATTCTTTAATATAAGGGCCCGTTCTCTCTTTACATATTTATTAATGGGTCTATTTATTCTTAACCTCATGAAGAATGCATCATAAACTTTATCTTTGTAAAAAATGAATCTACAGCCTGAAGGTTCTTCTAATTTAAGACTC